CTATGCTATTTCAGGGAAAAAGGAGACCTCCACATAGAGAAAAGGAAACAAAGGAAGTACAGCAAAATGTTAAGTGGTTATTTAAGTAATTATGGGCCATTGTTTTCTTTAAATTTTTCACTGTGTTCTTTCTTTCTCCACTTTGCCAAATTTATTTAATATGCTTCTATTTTTTTTAATAAAACAATATAGTAAAACTTATTCCTTTGGATACACTCAGATGAAAATATTTTTTCAACCTATTCCTTATAATAGTCACATTTCTTATTTTATACTTTGAGTAAAAAATATTTAAGTGAAGAAACCAACTTCTTCCATATTTTTTCAAGTATTGATATTTATATACAACCTTTTATAGCTAATTATGTTACTATGTACTAAGTTCTCAGAGCAACAGAAATAGATATTTGCCATTACATGAAAAACATATAGATATCTGCCCAGCATTACATGAAAAATATAATAAAAACTAAATGCTCTCAATGGCCACAAAAGCAATGGGTTCTGAGACCTAAAATCTTCTTGTAATTATAGCTTGATTATTCTTAAAATGCTATACGTTAAGAGATATGACATGGGATTTTTCAGAGAGCCATGTAGCCTAATGGATAGAACATCTGACTTTGGATATATGGGATTTGCTTTTAATTACCCTAGCAGGCCTAAGGACAAACTGGGGGCTGGTGAAAGGGATAGATGTAACTAGTACAATTGCATAATGTTGGTAATTGCTGAAGCTGGGTGACAAGTAAATAGGTATTCATTATTTTTTAAAATTTACTGTATTTTTGAAAAATTCTATGATAAAAGTTAAAACAGGAATAAAAGAATTCTAAATGCTCTATTTACAATGACAACTAAAGCAAAGTCCATGGTATATCCAAAACAGAATAAAATGAACAAATAGAAAAGACCCATTATAAACAAAGCTCCAAGTGGTCTATATAATAATTTTGCTTTTTTATCTTTCTAATCAAATGAAAAAACAAGTGTTCACCAAGAAGCACAAGGCTCTTTAAAAGTTGTATGATAGGTTATGATCGCCACCTACTGGACACTGTGATTAACTGCTAGCTACAGAAAAACTCACTTTGGAGTCAGAGCACCCATCTCCCGCCAAGCATCTGGTCCTTCACAAGATAATCCTAATAATACCATTAAATATGGGGCACCTGTGTGGCTCAGTCGGTTAAGCGGCTGCCTTCGGCTCAGGTCACGATCCCAGGATCCTGGGATCGAGCCCCTCATCAGGCTCCTTGCTCAGCGAAGAGCCTGCTTCTCCCTCTCCCTCTGCCTGCCGCTCCCCTGCTTGTGCTATCTCTCTCTGTGTCAAATAAATAAGGAAAATCTTAAAAAAAAAAAAACCATTAAATTTATGTTCACATGTATGTTTATATTCGTAATATTAATAATATCACATTACTTCTAACAACATGAAATGCCACCTGCAAAAAGTATATCAAAATTTTGTCAGAAAGTATAGTGGTGATCATTTTATGATGTCCTTATCTTACAGAAGATTCCAGATTTTGAACTGTTTTCTCACAGAGAACCCAGAATTTAAATTATTTACACATAGAGATAGACCAGAAACCTATAAATTAGCCCTGGCTCTTAAATTTGGTGCATTATCTTTTTATTATCTTTTAAATCGCTTGTAACTTTTAATTGAAAATTTTACTTTTCTTTATAACCTAGCTAACTGCATATACCAGTGATTCTCAATCCTGTTGCATTAGAATTACCTGTGGAATTTTTTTTTTTTTTTTAAGTAGGCTCCTTGCCCAACATGGGGCTTGAACTCATGACCTTGAAATTAAGAGTTGAATGCTCTACTGAGCCAGCCAGGTGCCCCTGGAATTTTTAAATAAATTGTTGCTGGTACCACAGCCAGAGTTTTTTGTTTGTTTTTTTTTTAATCTAGCCAGGATTAAAAGAGCCATTAGTAAATAACAAAGGTTCTCAAAGTGTTGTCCATGGAACAGCAATATCATCACCTGGGAATTTGTTAGAACTGTAAATTTTCAAGGGCCACCTAAGACTGCTAAGCAGAGCCCAGAAATTTGTGATTGTGAGCCTACCAGGGGATTTGGATGCAGGCTAAAGTTTGAATATCACTGGTACTTAACATAAAATTTTTAAGTTTTTAATCTCTTTAAATATAAGATTTAATTTTCTGTTCTCTAAGAAGAAAATATAATACAAAAGAGAAATATTTACATTAAGGGTAATCTAGTACAGTTCTATTTTCCAGAAATAAACCATTATAAACATTCAACATTAGTTCTAGTTAGCCAATAGGAAAAATGCTTAATGGAAGGGTAGGGAATAATTTATCCACAGGCCAGTTAATAAAACCCTGGAATGTTCTTGCCCAGACAAGTCTTCCAGCCATATTTCCTTGTTCTGGTTTGTTCTGATCACAAAGGCACCTTTCTAAGACATAATTAAGACTTCTAGGGGCGACTGGGTGGCTCAGTTGGTTAAGTGGCTGCCTTCAGCTCAGGTCATAATCCCAGGGTCCTGGGATTGAGCCCCGCATCGGGCTCCCTGCTCGGCGGGGAGCCTGCTTCTCCCTCTCCCTCTGCCTGCCACTCTGGCTACTTGTTCTCTCTCTGTATCTCTCTGCCAAATAAATAAATAAAATCTTAAAAAAAAAAAAAAGACTTCTAGCCATATCATACCTTTTAACCCAGGAATGTCATTGCTAGGAATAGAGAGGAAAATAAATTAGACTCAACGATTTTCTCCAAAGCACTGTAAAGAATAGAGGAGGGGAATCTGAAAGCAAGTTAAACAAGCCCAACAATTAAGAAATGATTCCATAAATTACAGCATTAACAGGATGGAATATTGCTCAACCATTAAAATGATGCTTTCCATATGAGACTTTAAATAATATGGGAAAATGCTTACTTTATAGCATCATGTGTGTGTATGTTCTCTCTCTCTGTCGATTGAAAAAGACAATGAAGAGCACCAAAATATTAATGCTGGTTATCTGAGTAGTAGGATTATGAATAGATTTATTTTGCACATTTATTAGTGTTTCTAAAACTTTCCATCATAAGAGTACACTTAATCTACTAATCAGAAGATCTACAAATGTAATAATAGAACTTCTACTCTAAATTAGGATCTTCAAATAATGATTAACCAGTAAGCTTTCAAAAGACAGTAACAGGGAAAAACAAGTATCTTTTTCTCTCCCCATCCTACACTACTCTTTTCTCCTATCACTCCTAACCCTTATATTAGCTCTGCCATAACCCTGTAACTAGAGATATGAAGACACTGAATATCCAATGTTTTTACAGTTTTAAACTGTTCAGCTAAACAGTTTATCTTAGAATATATAAAAAGGAGATCAAATACCCCAATGGTTAAGAGAACAGACTTTAAAATCAGATCTAGGTTGGAGTCTTACTTTAGGGGAGCTCACACAGGTTTCAATTTCCTTTACCTGTAAGTGGGAGTACCAACCCTCCCTCAATGAACTGCTATGAGGATGAAATGAGGATGCATGTAAAGCATAAGATAGTAGTAGGCACTCAACAGAAGGTAACTGCTATTACTGTTTTGTAGTTAAAGTTGTTTTTGGTGGGACGCCTGGGTGGCTAAGTCGGTTAAGCACCTGCCTTCCCCTCAGGTCATGATCTCAGGGTCCTGGGATTGAGTCCCGCATCAGGCTCCCTGCTCAGTGGGGAGTTTGCTTCTCCCCCTGCCTGCATGTGCTATCACTCTCTCTCTCAAATAAATAAATAAAATCTTTGTTTTTGATAAACAGCCCTCAAATTTTAATTTTCCTTTGGGAAAAAGCTTAATGAGGTACAGTGGTTGCTCAGTCATTTGGACTTCTCCAACCACTTGTATTTCAAAAACAGTTTGGGAGCTGCCAAAATACTCTTTGTACAAAGTGGGTGTTACTAAAACCCACCAACAAATTTATCAACGCTCTTATTTCATGAAAGAAGCAGCTTTTGAACATCTACTAAAAGAAAAAAAAAAATGTAGTCTCTGAGTAAAGGAAATCATTCCAAAGAAAGGACAGTGGGTAACTGCAAGCCAAAATCATCCTTATGCTTTCCATTTTGTCACCTACCAGTACATACTTAAAGAACAGCAACAGTTTGCAAACTGACACTTGATGAAAGACTTTCAACTTCTTAGCCTGATTCTTCTCCATTAAATGAAGTTTTTCTATTTACATCATCGGATGTTCATTCAACAAACACTAACCAAACCTATTACTTGCTATTAAGCAAAGGAATTCAAGCTCAAATGAGGTTAAGTATATGAAAACACGATACAGTTTGTATATTGCAAAGCACCATTAAGTTATATAGTATTGTTATTACCAAAAAACACAAATATTGTAAATTAATTCCTAAAAGGGAAAAAGATTTCCCACCCACATGTTTTAATGTCTTAGTCATTTTCTATATTCATGCTGTCACAAAGGACATTTACAATTTTTAGAATGAACACTTGCCACACTTTTTCTTTAGAAAATAGTCATATTTGTGATATGGCTCATGACTCTGCCATTCTGTCTTATGAAAATTGAGAATATTACTTTTCCCTCAGATGATATCGCTCTCAAGGGAAAGTTATTAAGCTAGAAATTGCTGCTATAATTACCAGCATGCAGAATCTGAATTTTAAGGAAGACAATTTAATAGGATTTAAAATATAGGTTCAGACACAGAAAACTTTATTTTCTTATTTTCAAAAGTGTTGTTGTGGAGTGCCTGGTGGCTCAATTAGTTAAGTGTCTGCCTTTGGCTCAGGTCATGATCCTGGAGTCCCAGCATGGGGTCCCGCATCAGGCTCCTTGCTCAGCAGGGAACCTGCTTCTCCCTCTGACCCTCACCCTGCTCGTGCTCTCTCTCTCAAATAAATAAATCTTAAAAAAAAAAAAGTGTTGTTGTAAGATTTTCCAAGTGTTAAAATTCACTGTCAAGTATGATGATTGAGAAATAACAAGACACCAAATGTAGAAATTATATACAGTTTTATAATTTTCTTTGTTGCTTCTTAATCCACTGAAAATAATTTCAAAATATAACATTGTTAGGCATCTTCTTTGTTACCCTCTTCGGTTTCTACTTCTTTAGGCAACAATGGCTTGATCTTTAGTAACAAACCTTCACTTGTTGAAGTACGAAGGAAAGCTCGTACCACAAAAGGTCCTGGAAACAAAGACAAGAATCAACTTTTATTTTATTCCATAAACGTATGAGCAAATAGAAACAGATGACAAACCTTATAAAACTCATGTTATATTTTCCCCTTGAAAAGTACTGATATTACTGAACTAATATTTTGAATTATAAGGAATATCCTCTCATGTCTAGAGTAGAAGACAAACTAACTGTACTCTACCATATTAGAGATTTATCCTTGAAACTACATATTCTGTAATAATTCATTTCCTTCTTCCAGAAGATGACTACCTAGAATTTATTTTACTGCAAAGCTGAAAGTGAAGGGAGCAGGTGATGGTATTTACATTTGATGGCAATATTCTAAATATTTATTTGAAACAGCACTGATGCTATTTCTGTGTTACCATTCAGTAAACGTCCCTAAAAATTAAAAATCATAAGAACAATTGAGGGACATCATTTAAAATGGCAAAAAAAAAAAAGATGGATAGTTCAAGACGGCAGCATAAGAAGATCCTTAACTCACCTCCCACAGACACAGCAAATCTACAACTACATATGGAATAAAATCCTCCAAAAAGTCCTGAAGACTAGATGAGCAACACATCCATAAGAAAGGATAAAAGGGCTGCACTGAGACAGGCAGGAAAGTCAGACACAACACTCTCTGCAAAAACCCCATCCCAGGCAAAGTGACTGACAATCAGGAAGGATTTCAAAAATACAGAACTTTTCCCTAAGGACCAAGGGTTTTGTCTCCCACACCAGGCACCCCAACCACTGTGTCCTGTACCAGAGAGATGAGCTCCCAAAATATATGGCTTTGAAAATCAACAGAGTGCATCCAGGAGAACCACAGAACTGGAAAGAACAGAGAATTTCTTAAAGGGCTCACACACAAACTCACTCACTCCACAACCTGGTGCAAAAGAAGCAGTTTGAAAAGCCTCTAGACCGTATGTGAAGGAAACCCCCTTATTAATCTTAAAGAAACTGCTGGAAAGTAGGAACCTGCTGAGACTCTCTCTGGGGATGAAAGTGCAGGTGGATGCCATTTTTGCAATTTCATTCAACCTTGCTAATGCCAGTGCTGGCAACAGCCATGTTGGCAATCCCACTCTAACCTGCTAATGCCACTGGGCATGCTCTGCACCCCCATGCCACAGCCAAAGCACAGCTGGTGGGCAAGAGCCCCATGCACGACTACCTTGCTGTGCTGCAGCCAAACCACAACCAGCCAGGTGAGCAGCCCCACCCAAAAACGCAACCTGTTGCACAGCCAGCCAGGTGAGACCCCACCCCTGCTACCTCATTCCTACTGTGCCACAGACAGACAAGCACCCCACACCCATCCCACCAAACCCCACACACAGCTGGCAGGTGTGTGAAGCCCACACAGGGGATTCCCCTTGAGCGTGTGGCTCCCTCCTACTTCTAAACCCCACAGAAAATCTTGTACACAGGGCCACTCCCTCAAGACTGGGAGAGGGAGCTATTTCAATACATAGAAACACACAGAATCAGGCCAAATTAGGAGATAGAGGAATATGTTCCAAATGAAAGAACAAAGCAAAACCTGAGAAAAAGACCTTAATGAAATGGAGATACATAATCTACCTGATAAATAGATCAAAGTACTAATTGTCATAAAGATGCTTACTCAGGAGAAGAATGAACGAACACAAGGAGAACTTCAACAAAAAGAGAGAAAAATATATGAACGTACCAAACAAAAAAAAAAAAAAAAAAGAAGAAAGTACCAAACAAAAATCACTGAAGAATAGAGCTGAAGAATAAAATTACTGAACTGACAACTACACGGGAGGGGGCAACAGCAGACTGGATGAAGAACAGATCAATAACCTGGAAGACACAGCAATGGACTCACCCAGACAGGGAAACAAAAAGAAAAATGAATTTTAAATAGTGAAAATAGTTTAAGGAACACATAGGACAACATCAAGCAGAATAACATTCTCATTATAGGGGTCCTGGAAGGAAAAGAAAGGGGCAGAAAACTTATACAAAGAAATAATAACTGAAAACCCTAACTTGAGGAAGGAAATCGACATCCAGATCCAAGAAGGTCAGAAAGTTCCAAATAAGATGAAACCAAAGAGATTTACACCAAGACATGTTATAGTTAAAATGTCAAAAGTTAAAGAGAAAATCTTAGGGCGTCTGGGTGGCTCAGTCGTTAAGCATCTGCCTTTGGCTCAGGTCATGATCCCAGGGTCCTGGGATCAAGCCCCGCATTGGGGTCCCTGCTCAGCGGGAAGCCTGCTTCTCCCTCTCCCACTCCCCCTGTTTGTGTTCCCTCTATCACTGTGTCTCTTTCTGTAAAATAAATAAATAAAATCTTTAAAAAAAAAGAGAGAGAGAGAGAGAGAATCCTAAAAGCAGTAGGAAAAAAACAACTTAACACATACAAAGGAAACCCCATAAAGCTAATAGCAAATTTTTCAGAAGAAACTGTGAAGGCCAAAAGTGACTGACGGGACATATTCAAGGTGTTTAAAGGAAAAAAACTTACAACCAAGAATACTCTACAAAGAATGTTATCATTCAAAATAGAAGGAGAGATAGAGTTTTCCAGATAAGTAAAACCTAAGGGGGTTCATGATCACTAAACCAACCTTACAAGAAATGTCAAAGGAACTTCTTTAAGCTGAAAGGAAACAGTACTAATAATGACAGGAAAACATACTGAAGTAAAAATCTCACTGGAAAATATGTTGTAAAGGTAGTACATTTATTCACTTATAAAGCTAGCATGAAAGTCAAAAGACAAAAGTGGCAAAACTAAAACTATAATAATTAGTTAAGGGATACATAAAATGAAAAAAGTGTAAAATGTGACATAAAAACCATAAAATACAGAGGGTGCAATTAAAATGTAGAGTTCTGGAATAAATTTCAATTAAGTTGCTACCAATTGAAAACAGACTGCTATATACATAGAATGGTATATGTGAACCTCATGGTAACCACAAAGAGAAAAACTTATCACAAATATAAAAAGAAAATGAGAAAGGAACCTAAACATAACGCTAAAGGAAATTATCAAACCAGAAGAGAGAAAGAGAAGAAACGAAGAGGAACAGCAAAACACTCAGAAAACAATTAACAAAATGGCAATAACTACACACCTATCAATAATTACTTTAAATGTAAATGGACTAAATCCTCAATCAAAAGACAGAGTGGCTGAATGGATTTAAAAACAAAAACAAGGGACGCCTGGGTGGCTCAGCTGGTTAAGCATTTGCCTTCGGCTCAGGTCATGATCTCAGGGTTCTGGAATCGAGTTCCGCATTAGACTCCTTGCTCAGCGGGGAGCCTGCTTCTCTCTGCCCGCCGCTCCCCCTGCTTGCACACTCTCTCTCTCTCTCTCTCTCTCTCTCTCTGACAAATAAGTAAAATCTTTAAAAAAAACAAACAAAAACAAGACTCATCTATACTCATCTTTACCCTGCCCACAAGAGACTCAGTTCAGAAGTAGGGACTGAGGGGTGCCTGGGTGGCTCAATCCGTTAAGCATCTGCCTTCGGCTCAGGTCATGATCCTGGGGTCCTGGGAGAGACCAGAGACTATGGACTCTGAGAAACAAACTGAGGGTTCTAGAGGGGAGGGGGGGTGGGGGGATATGTTAGCCCAGTGATGGGTATGAAGGAGGGCACGTATTGCATGGAGCACTGGGTGTTTTACACAAACAATGAATCATGGAACACTACATCAAAAACTAATGATGTAATGTACGGTGACTAACATAACATAATAAAAAATAAAAATAAAAAAACCAACTCTCAGTAAATTTAAGACTGAAATCATATCAAGAATCTTTTCTGACCACAATGGTATGAAACTAGAAATCAATTACAAGGAGAAGACTGGAAAAACCACAGTAACATGCTACAACAATGGGTCATCAAAGAAATAAAAGGAAAAACTTAAAAATACCTAGAGACATAAGAAAACAGAAATACAACATACAAAAATCTATGAGATGCATCAGAAGCAGTTGTAAGAGAGAATTTCATAGCAACACAGGTCTACCTCAAAAACACAAGAAAAATCTCAAACAATTTAACTTTAAAACCTAAAGGAACTACAAAACGAAGAACAAATGAAACAAAGTTAGCAGAAGGAAAGAAATAATAAAGATCTGAGTGGAAATAAATGGAAAAAAAAGAAAGAAATGAAATAGACCTAAAAGGGCAATAGAAAAGATGGATGAAAATAAGAGCTGGTTCATTGAAAAGATAAACAAAATTGACTAACCATTAATTAGACTCACTAAGAAAAAAAAGGGTGGCTCAAATAAATAAAATCAGAAATGAAAGAGAATTATAACTGATACCACAGAAATACAAAGAATCACAAGAGACTACTATGAACAATTATATGCCAACAAACTGGACAAGCTAGCAAAAATCATCAAATACCTAGAAACAAACAAACTTTCAAGACTGAATCAGGAAGAACAAAAAATCTGAACAGACTGATAACAGCAAACAGACTGAATGAATCAATAATCAAAAACTTCCCAACAAACAAAAATCCAAGACCAGATGGCTTGACTGGTGAATTCTAACAGACATTCAAGGAAGATTTAGTACCTAGCCTTCTTAAACTCTCCCAAAAAAACTGAAGAGGACAGAATTCTTCCAAACTCATTTTATGAGGCCAGTATCATTACCTTGATACCAAAATTAGACAACACCACCACAAAAAAAAGAAGAAAATTACACGTCAATAACCCTGATGAACACATATGCAAAAATCCTCAACAAAATATTAGCAAACCAAATTCAAATATACATTAAAAGAATCATACACCATGACTAAGTGGGATTTATTCCAGGGATGAAAGGATGGTTCAACATGTGTACATCAATCAGTGTGATACAGATTAACAAAATGAAAAATAAAAATCATATGATCACCTCAATAGATGCAGAAAAAGCATCTGACAAAAGTCACATCCATTTACAACAAAGCAGTTAAAGAGAGAATATACACACCTTAACATAATAAAGGTCATATACAAACCCACAATTAATATCATACTAAATGATGAAAAGCTGGAAGCTTTTCCTCTAAGATCAGGAACAAGACAAGGATGCCCACTCTCCCCACTATTACTCAACACAGCATTGGAATACCTAGTCACAGAACTTAGACGAGAAAGAAAAAAAAAAGCACCCTAACAGGAAAGGAAGATGTAAAATTGTCCCTGTTTGCAGAAGACATGATACTATATATAAAAGATAAAGACTACCCCAAAAAACTGTTAGAACCAATAAAAAAAATTCAGTAAAGTGGCAGGATACAAAATCAATATACAAAAATCAATTGTTTCTATACACTAACAACAAATTACCAGAAAGAGAAATTAAGAAAACAATCCCATTTACAATTGCATTGAAAAGAATAAAATACCTAGGAATAAACCTAGGAATAAATCTAATAAAGAAGGTGAAAGATTAGTATATTGGTCACTGTAAGACAGTGATGAAAGAAACTGAAGATAATACAAAGAAATAGATATTCCATGCTCATGGATTAGAAGAATTAATATTAGGATGTACACATTACCCAAAGTGATCTATAAATTCAAAGCAATCCCTATCAAAATTCCAATAGTATTGCTCACAGAAATAGAACAAATAATTCCAAAATTTGTATGGAACCACAAAAGACCCTGAATAGCCAAAGCAATCTTGAGAAAGAACAAAGAAAGAGATATCAAGCTTCCTGATTTTAAACTATACTACAAAGCTACAGTAATTAAAACAGTATGGTATTGACGTAAAAAGACATATGGATTGATGGAACAGAATAGAGAGCCCAGAAATAAAACCATACATATATAGTCAATTAATCCACAACAAAGGAGGCAAGGATATACAATGGAGGAAGGACAGTCTCTTTAATAAATGGTGTTGGGAAAACTGAACAGCTACATGCAAAAGAGGGAAACTGAACCAATACCCCACACCACATACAAAAATTAACTCAAATAGATTAAAGACTTGAAAGTAAGACCTGAAACCATTTCTTCTAGGAAGAAGAAAACACATTTGGTAAGCTCCTCAACATTGGTCTTAGCAGGGTTTTTTTTTTTTTTTTGATGACTACAAAGGGCAACAATAACCAAATAAACGAATGGGCCTACATCAAACTAAAAAGCTCTGAACAGCAAACCAACAATAAAATCAAAAGGCAACCTGGTGAACAGAAGAAGGTATTTGCAAATCATATATCCAATAAGGGATTAATATCTAAAATTTGTAAAGAACTCACACAACTCAATAACCAAAAAAAAAATCCAATTTAAAATTGGGCACAGAATCTAAATAGACATTTTCTCAAAGACGTACAAGTGGATAACAGGCACATGAAAAGAAGCTCAACATCATTAATCACAGGGAAATGCAAATCAAAACCACAATGAGTTATCACCTCACACTTGTCAGAGTGGCTATTATTAAAAATAATGGTTGGCAAGGATGTGGAGAAAAAAAGAACCCTCATGCACTGTTAGTAGGAATGTAAATTAGGGCAGACACTAGAAAAGAGAATGAGGATTCCTCAAAAAATCACCAAGAGAATGACAATATGACCCAACAATTTCACTTTTGGGTATATATCGGAAGAAAATGAACATGCTAGTTTGAAAAGATACATGCACCCCTGTGTTCCTTGCAGCATATTTACAATAGTCAAGATATGGAAACAACCTAAGTGTCCATCCATACATGAATGAATAAAGAAGATGTGGTGTATACACACGCACACATGCACACGCACACATGCACACACACACACACGTACACACACACACACACACACAATGGAATACTACTCAGGCATCTTAAAAAATGAAATCTTAGTATTTGTGACAGTAATGGACTTTGAGGATACTATACTAAGTGAAATGAGTCAGAGAGAGAAAGACAAATATCAGTGATTTCATTTTAAGTGAAATCTAAAATACAAAACAAACTAACAAAACCAAACCAAACCCAGTCTCATAGATACAGAGAACAGGGTGGTGGGTGCTAGGGGGAAGGAAGTTGGGGGAGGGGACAAAATGGGTGAAGGGAATCAAGAGGTACAAACATTCAGTTATGAAATAAATAAGCCAAGGGGATATAATGTAAAGCACAGGGAATAAAGTCAGTGTTATTGTATTAACTTTGTATGGTGACAGATGGTAATTAGACTTATGGTGGTGATCAATTTGCAATGTATACAAATGTTGAATTATTACATTGTACACTTGAAACTAAAAGAATATTGTACGTTAACTACACTGCAATTTAAAAAATGGCAAAAAGAGGACACACTGCTTTTAGAGATTTGCTGTCCATCATTTCATTCCTGCCATAGTCTCAGAAGATCCTATACTGAAATCGAAGTGCTCCATGGAATATAAGAATGCATACACATACAATTACTAAGTACCATGACCATATCTATGGCACCAGAATTAACAAGTGAGCTATTTATTCACCATTGTGCTAACTGCCAAAGAAGGTAAAAAATAGCTTAGGATTATGTTTTAATTACACACTTGGTTATAAAACTAAACCAGACAGAGTCCTATCATGTTAAGTCTATAAATGAAGAGTCTACTGAGTATAATGAACCCTTTTTGGGCGGCAACCGGCCAGGAGTGAAATTCGTCTGAGGAGAGAACATGCTTGGCACATAATGCAACAGTAAGGGTCTGGCTATGTGTTCCCAGTCTATGAAACAGCTCCCACATCTCAGTCAAGTTTCACTGCTCTCCATGAACCACCCTGTTTATAAGAAGTGACTCTAATGACATGATTAAAAACTTTGTTCTTTTTTAAAAATAAGTAAGATTAAAAAAGACAATTGCTAGTTCCAGTGATAAAGTGAATGGTCTAGCCAAAAAATATTTCATAAATGATTTTAGTGGGTTTTTTTTAAAGTTTTTTATTTATTTATTTGACAGAGAGAGACAGCGAGAGAGGGAACACAAGCAGGGGGAGTGGGAGAGGGAGAAGCAGGCTTCCCGCAGAGCAGGGAGCCCAATGTGGGGCTCGATCCCAGAACCCTGGGATCATGACCTGAGCCGAAGGCAGACGCTTAACAACTGAGCCACCCAGGCGCCCCTGATTTTAGTTTCTATTTAACACCATTGCAAGTTTAAGGCAATCAGTTACAGCTTTCTTTCAAAGTTTATTACATTTAATGGTAGAAATAATGGAATTTACAAAGATTTCAGGATGTATTCCTTATTCATGTTAAAGAGGTCTCCTCTCCAAACAACTATAACTTGTTAATAAGGGGATTAGGAATCCTTTGGATAAATTTTATTTATTTAATCCCTGAAAATATTGCTGCTATTGGATACTGTACTTGCTATTAACTTGATTGTTTTCTTAATATTTTACATTTTTAAAGAATCCCAGAGCTCTAGGGAAGTGTACCCCAGCAAATCACTTACCCAAACTGAGTGGTCTGTGCTTACAAACTTCACTGATGACTGCTTGCAGATTCGCAGCTATCTGGTTACTTAGCATATCCAGCTGAAATGAAAGGATATGTAACAATAATGTGAAAGTGAGAAGATAATACAACTTCTGGTAACTGTACAAGTATTTATTTTAGTGTTTTTCAAATATTCAACTAATGCAAACTATTAGGAGACGTTACTGTGAAAGAAAAAAACTTCTGTAACTCTTCTTTCAGAATGCTACATTCACATGTCTTTACACGTCAAGACTTAATTACCTTATGGAACATGTCATAGCAAAGTATTTTGAAGTTGCTCTACTTGAGATTCCTTGATTTCCCAGTATTTTCCCCAAAGCACATTCTGAGGCAGAATACACCATCCCCTGATCCCTACACCCAAGGTTTTAGGGATATTTTCTTGAAGTTTTTTGTTGATTTACTTTTATTTTTTATTATTCTTTTTTTAAGATTTTATTTATTTGAGAGAGAGAGAGCACGAGCAAGGGGAGTTGGGTGAGAGGGACAAGCAGACTCCATGCTGAGAGCAGAGCCCGACGTGGTGCCCAGAGATCATGACCTGAGTGGAAGTTAGACACTTAACCAAATGAGCCACTCAGGCACCCCTGTTATTGATTTACTTTTACAGGAAACTAAGAAAATGCTTAGAAACTCATGCTTTCAGGAGTACAAAATAAGACTACTTAACCACACACATTCACATAACACATATCTGATATAGAGACATTTTCAGAATGCTATGGTAACACTCTATGCAATAACAAATATCCTGCTATTCAATGAAAATTATAGTAAGTAAATATATAGTGAACAAGTCCTATTCAAAACCTAGCTCACAACTTTGGAAAGTCCTTATGTTTATCATTCAAATTCAATGCATGTTACTCTTCTAAAATATACCAGTTAAAATCAGTTATATTACATCCCAATGTTTAAAGGATTTTACACTTTGCCAAATGAATGAATTTTTAAAAAATTCATGTGAAACTCGTAATAGCGTAACTGGCAAAAAAAAAAAAAAATCACATGGTAATAGTTCAAGTTCAAGCAAGGTTTCTATTTTCCAGGGACGCTGAGACCCCTGTGAGAAATGTGCTGTGTAAGCATTAAGAGAATTCCCCATGAAAAAAAAATATTCTCATCACCACCAGACAACATTTGACACTCACTTGGACATGATGCAGTATCAAACCCTAAATGAGAAGGTTTGGACAGTATTGGAGGAATTTTCACTTAAGCTAATCCATAAGGGGGAGTTCTGAGAGGAAAAAAAAAAAATCAAGCAATGCTTAATTCACCTTCTTAAGTCCAGTGAACTTACAGCTTTAATCAAGTAGTTCACTGGCAGGAAAGGCACCTGCTATGTTAAAAAACAAAACAAAACAAAGTAAAACAAAAACTAATGCTATCAACATGTGTCTCCATTCATTCCTCTCTTAACTCTCCACATTAATCAAATCGTCCTTCTTTCCATTATCAACTGAAGTACCACCACAGCCCTAGGAAGTTCCTTCACCCTTTGTTAAAGACCTATAGCTACCTTAAATTTGGGAAAGTAATAGATACAAGAAAAAGCAAGATGTCCAACATATGCCTTCCCTATTTACAATTAAGTTATGCTCTACACTGTTAAAATATACTGAACTAATATATCAAACAATACTTTTGTGGACTTATACTGCCTACAGTTAGCTAAAATAAGATGCTAAACACATGCACCATATACTTCCTCTGTGACTTTCATTATTAGGATGACTTCAAGGATTTCATTAAGTTCTAAAATATATAAAAATGTCTTCGAACACAGTTTACATTTTTGTCCAAATTTTAGCACCTCTAATCCTTAGTACTGTCCTCTGTTGAATTTTAAAATATTTATAACCATAGTACTTCATTTTACTTTTTAGATATTATATAAAAATATGAAAAATCTATATATTTTATGGTTTATCTAAACCATAAAACGTGATTACTTAATTGGCTACTGATGTTAATTATGGTCAAAAAAAAGTATGCATGCATGAATTTTATGAAAATTTGCCTAGGAAATGTATTTGGGCTGACAATAACCTAGAGATAACTCAGGAAAGCAACATTTGCAAGCTTCTGCACTTCATGGTGCTCTCATGCAATAACAATCTGTAATCTTACAAAGGTAAGGATGGACCATTTTGAGATGATTTATTATCTGTTAGATTCTCAATATCAAAGCATAAGACTTGGTACACCAAAGGAAAAAAAAAAAAACTGGGATTGGTGGACCCTGAACTACGGTAAGCATCATATTTGCACATGTGCATACGTGTGCATTTGAGTATCTAATTACAGTACAAGTACATCTAATTGAGGACCTAGTTACAATACTATTTATGTTTAGCTAAAGTGACTGCCCACTACAGGACAAGATAGTTATTCCTCATTCTGTAGCAGATACGGTTTCAAGAAAAGACTACCTTACTGAATCCTACCTTCTGCTTAACATCTTTTATTATGTCAGAAATAATTCCCTAAAATGAATACCTACCATTTACGTCGATGTGGACAGAACTGGAGGGTATTATGCTAAATGAAATAAGTCAATCAGAGAAAGACAATTATCATATGGTTTCACTCAGATATGGAATATAAGAAATAGTGCAGAGGATCATAGGGGAAGGAGGGAAAACTGAATGAGAAGAAATCAGAGAGGGAGACAAATCATGAAGGACTCCTGACTCTGGGAAACAAATTGTGGGTTGTGAAAGGGGAGGTGGAAGGGGGGATGAGGCAACTGGGTGATGAGCATTAAGGAGGGCACGTGATGTGATGAGCACTGGGTGTTATACGCAACTGATGAATCATTGAACACTACTTGTGAAACTAATGATGTACTATATGTTGGCTAACTGAATTTAAATTAAAAAAAAAAAAGAAAAAAGAAATAATTCCCTAAACAGACGAGATGGAAGACTTACCAAAGATGTTTGGGTGGAGGCTCAGTGGATACAGATGAACTCTGTCTCTCTTCACTTTAACTCTCAGATTTTCCTCTTTCCATGCAATTCCTAACCTTTGTCTTCAGTTTTTACAATTATGAGAAAACTAAAAGTTAGTGGTTCCTGACCATTTTTTCATCCCCTTGAAATGCTGATGTATGCAAAGAAAATTGTAGTCATGAGTGTCTAACACAAGTATTCTTTTTTTTCCCCAAGTTTTTATTTAAATTTCATTTAGTTAATATACAGTATAATACTAGTTTCAGGTGTAGAATTTAGTGATTCATCACTTATATACAATACCCACTGCTCATCTCAACAGGTGCCCTCCTTGATCCCCATCACCCATTTAACCCATCCCCCCACCCACCTCCTCTCCAGCAATCCTCAATTTGTTCTCTATAGTTAAGAGTCTGTAGGGGCATCTGGGTGGCAGTTTGCTAAGTATCCAACTCTTGGTTTCAGCTCAGGTGTGATCATGGGATTGTGAGACTGAGCCCTGCATTGGACTCCAAGTTCAGCATGGAGTCTGCTTGAGATTTTTCTCTCTCTCTCTTTGCCCCTCCTGCTGTGCTCTCTCTCTCTAAAATAAATAAATCTTTTTTTTAAAGAGTCTGTTTTCTGGTTTGCCTCTTTTTTTACTCCTATGTTCATCTGTTTGTTTCTTAAATTCCACATGAGTGAAATCATGTTATTTGTCTTTCTCTGATTTATTTCACTTAACATAATACTATTCTCTAGCTCCATCTACATCATTGCAAATGGCAAGATTTCATTCTTTTTTATGGCTGAGTAATATTCCACTGTATATATTTACCGTACCTTCTTTATCCATTCATCAGTCAATGGACATTTGGCCTCTTTCCATAATTTGGCTGTTGTTGATAATGCTCCTATAAACATTAGGATGCATATACCCTTTTGAATCAGTATCTCTGTACCCTTTGAGTAAATACCTAGTAGTGTAATGCTGGATGGTAGAGTAGTTTATTTTCAACTTTCTGAGGAACCACCATACTGTTTTCCAGAGTAGCTGCACCAGTTTGCATTTCCACCAACAGTGTAAGAGGGTTCCCCTTTCTCCACATCCTTGCAACATCTGTTGTTTCCTGCCATTAATTTTAGCCATTCTGATAGCTGTGAGGTGATATTGTGGTTTTGATTTGTATATCCGTAATGATGAGTGATGCTTAGCATCTTCTCATGTGTCTGTTAGCCATCTGTATGTTGTCTTTGGAGAAATGTCTATTCGTGTCTTCTGCCCATTTTTTAACTGGAGTATTTGTTTTTTGGGTGTTGCGTTTTATAAGTTCTTTATATATTTTGGATATTAACCCATTATCAGATATGTCACTTGCAAATATCTTCTGCCATTCTGAAGGTTGCCTTTTAGTTTTGTCTTTTCCTTCACTGCACAGAAGCTTTTTATCTTGAAAAAGGCCCAAGAGTTTATTTTTGCTTTTGTTTCCCTTGCCTCAGGAGATGTATTAGATCCCTGGCCATGACCTTTTCTTGTTCTTTCTTTTGAGATGAATTCCTCTGTCTTGGCATCTTGTCTAGGTTTCTGTCTTCTGGGTGTTAGGACAGCCTGTTAATGCTTCCTGAACCTGAGAGTAATACTGTCCAGGGCCTGGCACTTCGGGAAGTGTCTCTGGTGTGTGCTGCGTGCACCCTGCTGCTGTGTTTTGGCTGCTCTATCCGTCAGGTCAGGCCTCTGCAGAATTTCTCCTTGCCTGCAGTGGGGAGTGTTTGGACCTTGACCAGAGTGTGGTGAGTTTTAATGAGGTATGCTCTGGTCAACTTGCTAAAAGAGGCCTGATGCTATTTCCACTAGAACTGAAGCTTTGCAGAACTCTGGTCAGCAGACATGGTGTATGTGGGGGTTTGTGCTGGTCTTTTGGGGTAAGGGCCCGCTGCCCTGGTCCTTAGGCACACTTGCCCTAAAACAGTACCAGTGGAGCATGGAGATGGCGGTGGGGGCGGGGGGGGGACGACACTTGGTGTAAGCAGGTTATGCAGCCAGTGTTGGCACTGTGCTGTTTACTGAAGTTGGTTTATGCCAAGGGGCAGAGGAAGGA